TTTAAAGATTTTTCAAAACATTTACTTTGAAATAAAAGATTTCGAAAATCAGTTGGCAGATCGATTTAGGATTATTTTTTCTTATTGTGTCATCATAACTGCGTACACACGATTATTTTCATAATTTTTGGCCACCCAGTTTTTCCAAAATTCTTATAGTTATCTCTTTAACAATAACGCCACGATTGCTTCAGAATTTTCGATGAGAGTGTCTAATCTTGGACCGGAACTGACTATATTTCATATTTTTGAACTTGGCTCCTCAAAATTCATCTCCTAGAAATTTTTCGGAATTTTTACGCAACGTTGCGAAATTCTCAATTTTTCAATATCTCCCTTAAGAGATTTTTTATCTTTCTTCGAGTTCTTTCGAAATTTAGTGAAGGAGATATTTTTGTTCATTTCTATTCCCTGAAGTTTTTACGGCTTCAGTTTTTCGCAAATTCCTGTCATTTGTCCAAAATCCTCAAAATGAAATAAGGAAATTTTTGAGATTTTTCAAAAATTTGACTTTGTCACCGAATATTTCGAAAACCAATTATCATATCGACTTGGCATTATTTTTTCTTACTGTGTCGTCCTGTCTGCGTGCACACAATTTTTTTCATAATATTTCGTCACCCAGTTTTTCCAGAATTCTTATGGTTACCTATTTAACAAAAATCCCATGATTGCTCCTGAATTGTCGATGATGGCGTCTAATTCTGGACCGGAATCACCTAAATTTCATATTTTTGAATTCAGGCCTTCAAAATTCATCTTCCAGAATTTTTTGTGAATTTTTACGCAAGGTCGCGAAATTCTCTATATTTCAATTTTGATCTTTCTTCGAGCTCTCTCGAAATTTAGTAAAAAACATTTTTTTGTTGTTTTCGATCCCCTGAAGTCCTTTAATGCTTCAGCTCATCTAAAATTCCTGTAGTTTTTTCAAAATTGTCAAAATGAAATGAGGCAATTTTTGAGATTTTTAAAAAAATTGAATTTGAAACCGAATATTTTGAAAATCAGTTGTCAGATCAGCTTAGGATTATTTTCTCTTATTGTGTCATCATAACAGTGTACACACAATTTTTTTTGTAATTTTTAAGCTCCCGTTTTCTCCAGAATCCTAGTAGTGATCTCTTTAACAAAAATGATACTAATACTCCTGAATTACGACTAATCTTGGATCGGGACCATCTATATTGCATAATTTTCGATTTAGGTCCTAAAAATTTATGTCCCAAAATGTTTTTTTTTATTTTTAGGTAACGACGTGAAATGGTCAATTTTTCAATACCTCCCCTATGAAATTTTTGACTTTTCTTCTCTAGTAATTTCCAAATTTAACAAAAGAGATTTTCTATTGAGCTCGATCTTCTGAAGTCCTTTTTCAATGCTTCAGTTCTTCTAAAATTCCTGTAAATTTTTCAAAATCACCAAAATGAAATAAGGCGATTTTTAAGATTTTTCAAAAAATTTACTTTGAAATCGAAGGTTTCGAAAATCAGTTGGCATATCGACTTAGGATTATTTTTTCTCATTGTGACCTTTATAACTGTGTATACATGATTTTTTTCATAATTTTTGGCCACCCAGTTTTTCCAAAATTCTTATAGTTATCTCTTTAACTATAACGCCACGATTGCTTTAGAATTTTCGATGATAGTGTCTAATCTTGGACCGGAACTGACTACATTTCATATTTTTGAACTTGGCTCCTCAAAATTCATCTCCCAGAATTTTTTTGGAATTTTTACGTAACGTTGCGAAATTCTCAATTTTTTAATATCTACCCTATGAAAATTTTGACCTATTTTCGAGCATTTTCGAAATTTACCAAAGGAGATTTTTTGTTGATTTCGATACCCTGATGTGTTCTATGTCTTCAGTTCTCCGAAAATTTCTGTCACTTGTTCAAAATCGCCAAAATAAAATTTGTCAAATTTTGAGACTTTTCAAAATATTGACTTTGAAATCGAATATTTCGAAAATCAGTTGTCATATCCACTTAGGATTATTTTCTCTTATTGCATCATTACAACTACGTGTAGACGATTTTTTTCATATTTTTTGGCCACCCAGGTTTTCCCAGATTCTTATAGAAACGTCTTTAACAAAAATACCACGATTGCTCCTGAATTTTCCATGATAGCGTCTAATTTTGCATCGGGACGAAACACATTTCATATTTTTGAATTTAACTACTAAAAATGCATCTCGCAGGTATTTTTCGTGAGTTTTTTGCAACGTCGCGAAATGCTCAGTTTTTGAATATTTCCCCTATGAAATTTTTGACCCATTTTCGAGTATTTTCGAAATTTACCAAAGGAGATTTTTTGTTAATTTCGATCCCTTGATGTGTTCTACGGCTTCAGTTCTCCGAAGATTTCTGTTACTTGTTCAAAATCGCCAAAATAAAATTTGTCAGAATTTGGGACTTTTCTCAAAATTGACTTTGAACTCGAATATTTCGAAAATCAGTTGTCATATCCACTTAGGATTATTTTCTCTTATTGTATCATTACAATTACGTGTAGACGATTTTTTTCATAATTTTTGGCCACCCAGTTTTTCCCAAATTCTTATAGAAACATTTTTAACAAAAATACCACGATTGCTCCTAAATTTTCCGTGATAGCGTCTAATCTTGGATCGGGACGAAACACATTTCATATTTTTCGATTTTTCGATTTAACTACTAAAAGTTCATCTCGCAGGTATTTTTCGTGAATTTTTAGGCAACGTCGCGAAATGCTCAATTTTTGAATATTTCCCCTGTGAAATTTTTGATATTTTCGAGTATTTTCGAAATTTACCAAAGGAGATTTTTTGTTAATTTCGATCCCTTGATGTGTTCTACGGCTTCAGTTCTCCGAAAATTTCTGTCACTTGTTCAAAATCGCCAAAATAAAATTTGTCAGAATTTGAGACTTCAAAAAATTGACTTTGGATTTGAATATTTCGAAAATCAGTTGTCATATCCACTTAGGATTATTTTCTCTTTATGTATCATTACAATTACGTGTAGACGATTTTTTTCATAATTTTTGGCCATCCAGTTTTCCCCAAATTCTTATAGAAACATCTTTAACAAAAATACCACGATTGCTCCTGAATTTTCCATGATATCGTGTAATCTTGGATCGGGACGAAACACATTTCATATTTTTGAATTTAACTACTAAAAATGCATCTCGCAGGTATTTTTCGTGAGTTTTTTGCAACGTCGCGAAATGCTCAATTTTTGAATATTTCCCCTATGAACTTTTTGACCTATTTTCGAGCATTTTCGAAATTTACCAAAAGAGATTTTTTGTTGATTTCGATCCCCTGATGTGTTCTACGGCTTCAGTTCTTCGAAAATTTGTCACTTGTTCAAAATCGCCAAAATAAAATTTGTCAAATTTTGAGACTTTGCAAAAAATTGACTTTGAAATCGAATATTTTCAAAATCGGTTGTCATATTCACTTAAGATTATTCGCTCATATTGTATCATTATAACTGCGTACACATGATTTTTTTCATAATTTTCGAAAACATAGTTTTTCCAAAATTGTTATAGTAATCTCTTCAGCAAAAATGCCACGATTGCTCCTGAATTTTCGATGATAGCACCTAGTCTTGGACCAGAATCACCTACATTTAATATTTTTGGATTTAATTCTCAAAAAATGATCTCTCAGAATTTTTTGTGATTTTTAGGCAACATCAGGAACTGCTCAGTTTTTCAATATCTATAATCTACGAAATTTTTGACTTTTCTACGAGCTCTATCGAAATTTAGCAAAGGAGATTTTTTGTCGATTTCGATCTCCTGAGGTGCTCTAAAGCTTCGGTTCTTCGAAAAATTTTGTCATTTGGCCAAAATCGCGAAAATAAAATAAGGCTATTTTTGAAATTTTTCAAAAAATTTACTTTGAAGTCGAATATTTCGAAAATCAGTTGTCATATCAATTTAAGATTATTCGCTCATATTATATCATCATAACTGCATACACACGATTTTTTTCGTAATTTTTGGCCACCTAGTTTTTCAAAACTTCCCCATGAAATTTTTGACATTTTTTTGAGGTCTTTTGACATTTTTAACATAGGAGTTTCTTCTATTGATTTCCTTTCAAGTCTTTTTGGGCTCCAGTTGTTTGCAAATTCCTGTCATTTGTCCAAAATCGCCAAAATGAAATAGAGTAATTTTTGAAATGTTTTAAAAAATTAACTTTCAAATCGAATATGTCGAAAATTACTTGTCGTATGGACTTATCATTTTAATGTCCGCAATTTTATGATCATAAAATAAATCTGCTTGAAAATAATGTTTTTAATACTTTAATAAAAAATTTATTTATTTCATGGTACGTCGATTAATAATAAATAGTTCCTCGAGAAACTATCTGATAAGAAATACACGAACAGCATTTATAGCAGTTATTTTTACGAAGTTTCCGCAACCTTGAACAATAATCAATTCTAACCACCGAATCGTGCGAATACAAAAATAATATTCAAAGTAATATAACGAAAATAATAAAAATATTTATTAATAATCGCCAGGATTTATTTAAGCTGCCCGCATTTTCCGCTTTGTTGCACTGAAATTCGGAAAACTATCCCAATTTGCATTTAATTCTGTTGCCTCAGCCCGTGGTCGGCGGTCTTATCGCATAACCGTCACCAGATGAAATATGTCCACCAAAATAGTAAACATATAAACTAAACGCTGCCAAAACAAGGCCCCTCCAATCTGCTCCAGGTTAGTGCTTTGAGTAAATCGAGCCCCAAAATCTACACTCTATCATCCCTTAGTCCCGTTTTAAATGAAGCCATAATACCCCCAAATTACACGGAAATAAAGCGACAAGTAAAATCCGAATCGCAAGTCTAATGAATATAAATTAAAACTTCGGAGCGCTTGACTAAAGTTAAAAACACCGTTTAAATTCATAAAGAGGGTGCTTAATAATGGATAAAGCCCTCCAAAGCGAACAATGAATACATTATTTTTAAAGCAAAGCCTCACCATTTTTAATTCCTTCTTCATCTCCCTGGTGATGTCGATGGACTTCTTGTGGACCTTCTTGATCGCGAAGACTCGGCCCTTGTAGATGCCGATCTGGGTGAAGATCGTCGAGTATCGGAAATCCGCGTCGGGGTTGGAGCTAAGCGACACTTGGCTCGTCCTTATCAGGGGATGGATCGACTGAAATAGAATAATGAAAAAGTTTATGTACTTGGGCAAACAGAGTTTACACTCACGCGGGTTATTTTAGTGCCGAGGGAGTTGGAGTTGGGTTCCTCATTGATCTGGATGTCTTTGAAGTCTACTTTCCATAAAAGGCTATCGAGTTCCTGTTCATATTTCCAGTTGCGATAGAGGACGAGCGAGATTATGAGAATGACGAGGAAGATTCCTCCGGTCACGCCGCTTGTTATTTCCATGGTGTGGGCTTATCGGAAAAATTAATTAGAGAGCAATTACGACGGGGCTGATACGAGTGGAGTAATCGCCGGAGCTATTAAAGTTTCAATTTGGGGAAATCGCGCATCATTGTAACAGAGTGTCGCGGTTTCGACAATACGGTAACCCATTTATTTTTTTTTGGGGTGTTAATCGAGTTATTTTAAATTTGCGTGAATTCCAGTCAAGCAAATCTGAGAAGAAACGGGCGAATTTTAACGGGAATGAGTGGAATGTTTTGCTACTTTCTAAACTGACAGGATTAATAAAAGTTGTTCTGTAAACAAAGTTGATGATGAGGGTCGCGATATCATTTGGGAATAAATAAACGAGATGGGTAATTTACATTTCTTTAATAATTGTAAACAAGCTTTCATTTCAAATTTTCGTTATTTTTCGGATTTTGTTGGGGAAACGTTTGAATACGCGGAAATAGCTGAAAAATTATATTATGTGATTGTAAGTAATTGTAAGTAAAAAATTTTTTTGCTTTCCTTAAGTTTTTTGGTTCAGTCGTGACCATTTCAATTTTTTTTTATTTCTTGGAAATTATTTTCTTCAATTTTTTTAGTAATTTACGCAGTTATCGCAAAAAAAAACATTAGGTTTGTAATGTAAAAAAAATCTATTTTCCCATTTTCTCCGTTATTTACATACGCTACCTTCAAATTGATATTCTACAAAGAATTCTGTCCAATCCAGAAATTAATCCAGTTTGATTTCTAAAATTTTTATTTTTTTTGTTCGCAAGAACAACTTCAAATTCCTAATCTCCAAAGAATTATGTGTGTTAAAGAACTTTATCCTGTTGAAATATAGAATTTTTTTGAAATTTTCAAAAATTCGCATTTCGTACTGATTTTTTCGAAAGTGAGTGATTTCGGCCAAAATTTCACAGTTTCGAAACCTAACATATACATTTTCTTGTGGATTTCGAGCTCTAGAACTCACTTCCGGCATCGTTTCTTTGATAACTGTAACCGTTTTCCGGAATCGAACGCTGAAATATCGAAATTTTTAGAAATTTTCAAAAATTCGCATTTCGCATTGATTTTTTCGAAAGTGTTGCTCTGTGACCATCAACACACTATATTTTTGGAATCAGCATGTCGAGGTCTATGTCCCTGAATTTTTTCGCAATTTTTAGACCACTTTTTTAAAAGTGAAATTTTTCAATGGTTCCCCCTTCTTCAAAAATCGGCCAAATTTTGACTTTTTCGAAACTCAACTAAACACATTTTCTTGTAGATTTCGAGCTCTAGAACTCACTTCCGGCATCGTTTCTTTGGTAACTGTAACCGTTTTCACGGAATCGAACATTGAAATATCGTAATTTTTAGAAATTTTCAAAAATTCGCATTTCGTACTGATTTTTCCGAAAGTGTTGATCCGTGACCATCAACACACTACATTTTTGGAATCAGCATGTTGAGATCTATGTCTCTGAATTTTTTCAGAATTTTTAGACAACTTTTGTAAAAGTGAAAATTTTCCAATGGTCCCTCCTTCTTCAAATTTCGGCCAAAATTTCACATTTTCGAAACCTACCTAAATACATTTTCCTATAGATTTCGAGCTCTAGAACTCATTTCCGGTTTCGTTTCTATGATAACTGCAACTGTTTTCCCAGAATCGTCCGTTAAAATATCGAAATTTTTAGAAATTTTCAAAAATTCGCATTTCGTACTGATTTTTTCGAAAGTGTTGATCCGTGACCATCAACAAACTACATTTTTGGAATCAGCATGTTGAGATCTATGTCTCTGAATTTTTTCAGAATTTTTAGACAACTTTTGTAAAAGTGAAAATTTTCCAATGGTCCCCCCTTCTTCAAATTTCGGCCAAAATTTCACATTTTCGAAACCTAATTAAATACATTTTCCTATAGATTTCGTGCTCTAGAACTCATTTCCGGTTTCGTTTCTTTGATAACTGCAACCGTTTTTCCCGAATCGTCCGTTAAAATATCGAAATTTTTAGAAATTTTCAAAAATTCGCATTTCGTACTGATTTTTTCGAAAGTGTTGATCCCTGACCATCAACACATTACATTTTTGGAATCAGCATGCCGAGATCTATGTGTCTGAATTTTTTCAGAATTTTTAGACAACTTTTGTAAAAGTGAAAATTTACCAATGGTCCCCCCTTCTTCAAATTTCGGCCAAAATTTCACATTTTCGAAACCTAACTAAATACATTTTCCTATAGATTTCGAGTTCTAGAACTCATTTCCGGTTTCGTTTCTTTGATAACTGCGACCGTTTTTCCAGAATCGTCCGTTAAAATATCGAAATTTTTAGAAATTTTCAAAAATTCGCATTTCGTACTGATTCTTTCGAAAGGGTTGATCCGTGACCATCAACACACAACATTTTTGGAATCAGCATGTTGAGATCTATGTCTCTGAATTTTTTCAGAATTTTTAGACAACTTTTTTAAAAGTGAAAATTTTCCAATGGTCCCCCCTTCTTCAAATTTCGGCCAAAATTTCACATTTTCGAAACCTAACTAAATACATTTTCCTATAGATTTCGAGCTCTAGAACTCATTTCCGGCTTCGTTTCTTTGATAACTGCAACCGTTTTTCCAGAATCGTCCGTTAAAATATCGAAATTTTTAGAAATTTTCAAAAATTCGCATTTCGTACTGATTTTTTCGAAAGTGTTGATCCGTGACCATCAACACACTACATTTTTGGAATCAGCATGTTGAGATCTATGTCTCTGAATTTTTTCAGAATTTTTAGACAACTTTTTTAAAAGTGAAAATTTTCCAATGGTCCCTCCTTCTTCAAATTTCGGCCAAAATTTCACATTTTCGAAACCTAACTAAATATATTTTCCTATAGATTTCGAGCTCTAGAACTCATTTCCGGTTTCGTTTCTTTGATAACTGCAACCGTTTTTCCAGAATCGTCCGTTAAAATATCGAAAGTTTTAGAAATTTTCAAAAATTCGCATTTCGTACTGATTTTTTCGAAAGTGTTGATCCGTGACCATCAATACATTACATTTTTGGAATCAGCATGTCGAGATCCATGTGTCTGATGTTTTTCAGAATTTTTAGGCAACTTTTGTGAAAGTGAAAATTTTCCAATGGTCCCCCCTTCTTCAAATTTCGGCCAAAATTTCACATTTTCGAAACCTAACTAAATATATTTTCCTATAGATTTCGAGCTCTAGAACTCATTTCCGGTTTCGTTTCTTTGATAACTGCAACCGTTTTTCCAGAATCGTCCGTTAAAATATCGAAATTTTTACAAATTTTCAAAAATTCGCATTTCGTACTGATTTTTTCGAAAGTGTTGATCCTTGACCATCAATACACTACATTTTTGGAATCAGCATGTGGAGATCTATGTCTCTGAATTTTTTCAGAATTTTTAGACAACTTTTGTAAAAGTGAAAATTTTCCAATGGTCCCCCCTTCTTCAAATTTCGGCCAAAATTTCACATTTTCGAAACCTAACTAAATACATTTTCCTATAGATTTCGAGCTCTAGAACTCATTTCCGGTTTCGTTTCTTTGATAACTGCAATCGTTTTTCCAGAATCGTCCGTTAAAATATCGAAATTTTTAGAAATTTTCAAAAATTCGCATTTCGTATTGATTTTTTCGAAAGTGTTGATCCGTGACCATTAACACACTACATTTTTGGAATCAGCATGTTGAGATCTATGTCTCTGAATTTTTTCAGAATTTTTAAACAGCTTTTTTAAAAGTGAAAATTTTCCAATGGTCCCCCCTTCTTCAAATTTCGGCCAAAATTTCACATTTTCGAAACCTAACTAAATATATTTTCCTATAGATTTCGAGCTCTAGAACTCATTTCCGGTTTCGTTTCTTTGATAACTGCAACCGTTTTTCCAGAATCGTCCGTTAAAATATCGAAATTTTTACAAATTTTCAAAAATTCGCATTTCGTATTGATTTTTTCGAAAGTGTTGATCCTTGACCATCAATACACTACATTTTTGGAATCAGCATGTTGAGATCTATGTCTCTGAATTTTTTCAGAATTTTTAGACAACTTTTGTAAAAGTGAAAATTTTCCAATGGTCCCCCCTTCTTCAAATTTCGGCCAAAATTTCACAGTTTCGAAACCTAACTAAATACATTTTCCTATAGATTTCGAGCTCTAGAACTAATTTCCGGTCTCGTTTCTTTGATGAAGGCAACCGTTTTAACGGAATCGAACGTTTAAATATCGAAATGTTTAGAAATTTTCAAAAATTTGCATTTTGTATTGATTTTTTCGAAAGTGTTGATCCGTGACCATCAACACATTACATTTTTGGAATCAGCATGTCCAGATCTATGTGTCTGAATTTTTTCAGAATTTTTAGACAACTTTTGTAAAAGTGAAAATTTTCCAATGGTCCCCCTTCTTCAAATTTCGGCCAAAATTTCACATTTTCGAAACCTAACTAAATACATTTTCCTATAGATTTCGAGCTCTAGAACTCATTTCCGGTTTCGTTTCTTTGATAACTGCAACTGTTTTTCCAGAATCGTCCGTTAAAATATCGAAATTTTTAGAAATTTTCAAAAATTCGCATTTCGTACTGATTTTTTCGAAAGTGTTGATCCGTGACCATCAACACACTACATTTTTGGAATCAGCATGTCGAGATCTATGTGTCTGAATTTTTTCAGAATTTTTAGACAACTTTTGTAAAAGCGAAAATTTTCCAATGGTCCTTCAAATTTCGGCCAAAATTTCACATTTTCGAAACCTAACTAAATACATTTTCCTATAGATTTCGAGCTCTAGAACTCATTTCCGGTTTCGTTTCTTTGATAACTGAAACGGTTTTTTCAGAATCGTCCGTTAAAATATCGAAATTTTTAGAAATTTTCAAAAATTCGCATTTCGTACTGATTTTTTCGAAAGTGTTGATCCCTGACCATCAACACACTACATTTTTGGAATCAGCATGTTGAGATCTATGTCTCTGAATTTTTTCAGAATTTTTAGACAACTTTTGTAAAAGCGAAAATTTTCCAATGGTCCTTCAAATTTCGGCCAAAATTTCACATTTTCGAAACCTAACTAAATACATTTTCCTATAGATTTCGAGCTCTAGAACTCATTTCCGGTTTCGTTTCTTTGATAACTGCAACCGTTTTTCCAGAATCATCCGTTAAAATATCGAAATTTTTAGAAATAAAAAAAAAAATTACATTTCGTCCCGATTCTTCCGAAAATGTTGCTCCGTGACCATCGATATGCTACATTTTTAGAATCAGCATGTCGAGATCTATGTGTCTGAATTTTTTCAGAATTTTTCGACAACTTTTGAAAAAGTGAAAATTTTCCAATGGTCCCCCCTTCTTCAAATTTCGGCCAAAATTTCACATTTTCGAAACATAACTAAATACATTTTCCTATAGATTTCGAGCTCTAGAACTCATTTCCGGTTTCGTTTCTTTGATAACTGCAACTGTTTTTCCAGAATCGTCCGTTAAAATATCGAAATTTTTAGAAATTTTCAAAAATTCGCATTTCGTACTGATTTTTCGAAAGTGTTGATCCGTGACCATCAACACACTACATTTTTGGAATCAGCATGTTGAGATCTGTCTCTGAATTTTTTCAGAATTTTTAGACAACTTTTGTAAAAGTGAAAATTTTCCAATGGTCCCCCCTTCTTCAAATTTCGGCCAAAATTTCACATGTTCGAAACCTAACTAAATACATTTTCCTATAGATTTCGAGCTCAAGAACTCATTTCCGGTTTCGTTTCTTTGATAACTGCAACCGTTTTTCCAGAATCGTCCGTTAAAATATCGAAATTTTTAGAAATTTTCAAAAATTCGAATTTCGTACAGATTTTTTCGAAAGTGTTGCCCCGTGACCATCAACACACTATATTGTTGGAATCAGCATGTCGAAGTCTACGTCCGTGAATTTTTTCGCAATTTTTAGACTACTTTTTTAAAAGTAAAAATTTTTTCAATGGTCTTGATTAGAACTTCTTAGAAATCTTTAAAAATCGGAAAAAGGAAAATAAAATTGTAATACATACTGATGCACTTCTCCCCTCGAAATCCACACGACGGTGCCGCAATCGGCGGCTGCCCCGCCACCCACTCGATCGTGTCCGTAATATGAAGAACCTACCAACAAACCCATCAATTATCACGTGCCAAACCAAACCACAACCTTGTCCATGACTTCCAATGAAACACAAACACCGACTCAGCACTTCTCCACTCACACCTCCCGACTCATTAATAAATAAAAAACCAACGCCACCGAGTCCCCAGTCCGCCCATCGAAACCATGCAACCCTGCCAAATGTCCCTCCTCTTCATCAGCGGCCTCTTCTCCGTAAGTTCCAACGTTATCCCCACCAAAGAAGAGCAAGCAAACCTCCTAACCGACGTCCAGGAAGTCTTCGAACATGCCAAACTCCTCGTGGACGTGGAGGCCAACTCCACCGACTCGTCCGTGGTCAGCGACGTAACCAAGATGGTCGAAAGAGCCAAAGACAAACTCCGCTTGATCGAACAACTCTCAATTTCAAGTAAGTCGCTTCCCTCCAAATCCCGTCTTCATAGCGCCGTTTCAGGGATGACCTTCACCAGCAACACCGTCTGCATGCTGGAGTCCAAGCACGACATGGAGAAGCTGGCGCGCCTGGGAGCGGCGGAGCTGGAGGCGTGCGTGAGCGGAACCGCGGACGCCGTCGCCGCCAACTCGCTCACTCTCAAGAACAGCACGGGGGCGGCGACGCAGCGGGGGCAGGAGCTGCTGGATACGTTGTATGCGTGCAGTCGCAAGCCGGGGTTGCAGGTGATTTCGTGCTACAAGGATGTTATTGCCAAGGACGTGGCTCCGGTTAAGAGGATGTTATTAGGGGCCATCGAAGCGCACAGAGAAGGACACTTCAGGACGATAGAGATAAGGGACGCGGCTAATAACTGCGTCGACGATGTGATAGGGAGATATAGGGCGAAGATGGCGACTGCTTTGAAAGAAGGGCTGAGTTGTGTTTAATCAGACGGATGTTTTTTTTTTTTAATTTAGGGGGTCGATTTTTGAGTTTTTTGTAGTTATACTGCGGAATGGGACTTACCGGTAATCTTGAGTCGGATCTTTTTAGGGCGAAGATTCCGACGGGGAACAATCCGAATTCTTCGTCTCCGTTGTAGGTTTTACGGGCGATGAGGGTGTAATTACCTTCGGCGTCCCCATTTTCGTCCATGTAAACAATGTATCTGTTGAATGAAGGATTAGGTTGGTTGCATATCGGCTCAAATGAGATGCATTAGTTATGAGATAGTGTTAGATCAGGGCGGTAATTACGGGTCGAATTATGTTCTAGTTAGGGCAGTAATCCGATTAATATGCATGGAAGGCTTAAAAATTAATAAGAATCTCTCGAACGGGTAGTTTACGCTAAATTAATTAAACTCCGGTTGGCTTACTTTCTAAAATACTTTTTTTTTTTAATTTATGTGTGTATTTTGATAAAATTAAACGCTTAATTTTATTACTCTTGTTTGACCCAAAAAAAGGAGCGACAAATGACGGTTTCACCTTCCGAGCTAATTGCTTCCACATTTTTTGTGCCGCAAGCTAAATATGGTGAACACAATTTACTTTTTGTGGTGTTCTGAAAATCTCAATGGCTAGAGTGTGCACAATGTATCCAATTTTTCATTGTACGTGTGTGACAAAAAATAAAGTGCGATAAAATAAATTGTTTCTCTTTGTTTTGGAATCCTTTGACCTGATAAATACCGAAAAGTTGGCGTTTTTTAAACTTTCTAAGTTCTCCAAGCTTAAAAATTTTGGGAGTCGAATTTTTGGAAATATTTAACGTCAAGATTTGGCTTTTGTTCCGACATTTGACCAGTTGAAGATTTCATTTTAATATCGAACTTTACAATTTTAAACATTTAGCAATTTTGCTCTGTAAAAACCTAAAGTTCAAATTTTGAAGCTTCAAGTTTAACGTCGCAATTATGAGATTAAAAAAGCTTAAATTTCCAAATATTTTCTTTATTTTTGAACTTAAAAATTTTAAAATATCGAGCTTTGATATCTAAAAAATCAGACCTTCAAAATTTGAAAGACAAGGAAAAAATCGAACTTATTAAATAATTTAAATTAAGAGAAGATTCTCGAAGCTAATGTTAAAATTCCGAAGTTTTAACAATACTCTCGAAATTTCGATTTTAAAAATTTTAATCTTTAAGTCGAAGCTTAGATATTTTGAAAATTAAATTTTCTAAATTATATAATTCAACAGTTAACATTTTAATGTCGAGGTTCCAAAAGTTGAAAAGTTCAAGATTTAATTTGGAGCTTTAAAAATTTGCGAGCTTTGTGCTATGAAATATTTAAAGTTAGAAAGAAAATTAATGTTGAAATTTTGATAATTGAAATCTTGAAGCTTCTACAGTAACATAGGAATCGCGAAATCTGCAAATAGCTACTTTAATGTCAAGTTTTTAAAACTTTGAAACACCAAGCTTTTATATTTAAAAAATCAGATCTTTAAAATTAGAAAAGCAACATATTTGAAATTCAAAAAGTTAAAAGTGCAAGTTCAGTGCTCTAGATTTTCTGGATATTTTAAATCACAAAGATTCTAGGAGCTCATGTTAAAATTTCAAAATTTTGACCCTACTCTCAAAATTTCAATTTATAAAATTTTAGTCTTTGATTTTTATGAAGATTTGAAAAATAAAAATTTTTGGAACAATTTTATTATTTATTAATTAGATCTTCAAGATAAAGACCAAAATTGTGAAATGTTAAAATCTAAACTTTATAATTAATATTAAAGCTATAAAATGTAAAAAAATCGAAGCTTTTTAAAACCTTTGAACCTCGAAGGTTAGATATTTCGAAAATCGAATTTTCGACATTTAAAGTGGTTTGGTTTTATTGTGCAGGTTCCAAGAGCTGAAAAGTTCAAAATTTTATTTTAGTATTGAACTTTGAAGCTTTAAAAATTTACAAGTTTTGTCTATAAATCTTCAAAGTTAGAAAATTAATGTTGAAATCTTGAAGCTTCAAGAGTAAGATCGAAATTATGAGATTTGAAAAGTCGAAAAGTTTAATACAGACACATTTGATGATTAATCAACCTAAATTTCCAAAAATCTACTTTAATTTCAAGTTTTAAAACTTTAAAACTCCGAGCTTTTATATTAAAAAAATCAGATCTTTAAAATTAGAAAAGCAGCAGATTTGAAATTCAAAAAGTTAAAAGTGCGAGTTCAGTGTTGTAGAATTGAAACGGAGGCCAAGTTTCCGACAATTAAAAAATCCACGTCTGGATATTTCAAATCACGAAGATTCTAGAAACTCATGTTAAAATTTCTAAATTTTGACCCTACTCTCAAAATTTCAATTTTTACAATTTCAATCCTTGATCTTTGTGAAATGAATCCTCAAAATACGAAAAGCCGGAGCTTCGAATTTGAAAATTAAAAAATTTTGGATCAATTTAATTATTTATTAATTAGATCTTCAAGATAAAGACCAAAATTGTGAAATGTGAAAATCTAAACTTCATAATTAATATTAAAGCTATAAAATGTAAAAAAATCGAAGCTTTTTAAAACCTTTGAAGCTCGAAGGTTAGATATTTCGAAAATCGAGTGAAGATTTGGTTTTAATGTGGAGGTTCCAAGAGCTGAAAAGTTCAAGATTTTATTTTAGCATTGAACTTTGAAGCTTTAAAAATTTACAAGTTTTGTCTATAAATTTCAAAGTTAGAAAATTAATCTTGAAATTTTGACACTTGCAATCCTAAAGGTTCAAGAGTAACATCGAAACCACGAGATTTGAATATTGGAAGAGTTTAATACAGGAAAAATTTGGTGTTTGATAAGCTGAAATCCCCAAATATCTACTCTAATTTGAAAATCCCAAGTTTCGATTTTCAAAAAAAAAAATCAGAGCGTCAAAATATGAAATGTGAAAAGTCACAGATCTGAAATTCAAAAAGTCAAAAAATACGAGTTCAGTGTTTTAAATTTGAAACTCACGTTGAATTTTCCATAACTAAAAACTCACAGATTTGAGATTAATATTAAATATGTTTTAAATAAAAAAACTCTCAAAATTTTGACATTCTCGAAGTTTTAACGTTTTAAAATTTTAATGTTTGGCCTTGAGGAAAATAAATCCTCAAAATTTGAAAAGTGGCAGCATCGAATTTTTAAAATAAAAAATTTTGGGTTAATTTTATTAGGGTGATTAAATTTGTAACAGTCTTGATGTCAAAATTGTGAAATGAGAAAATTTAAATTCCCTAATTAAATATACAAAAATCGAAGCTTTTAAAGTCAATATTTGGTTTTAATATCCAGGTTCCAAGAGAGAGGGAGTTGAAAAGTTGAAGATTTTATTTTAGCATTGCTATAATCTTGAAGATTTAAGAAAAATATCGAAACTGTGAGATTTGAAAACTCGAAGAGTTTAATACAGAAATATTTGATACATAACAAGCTGAAATCTCCAAACATTTACTTTAATTTCGAGACTTAAAAGCTCTAAAATTCCAAGCTTTGATCTTTAAAAAAACCAGAGCTTCAAAATTTGAAAAGTAATATAAAAGTAGAAACTTCAAAATTATCATTGAAATTAAAAAAATCCAAAAAATCGAATCTCAAGTTCTCCAAGCTTAAAAATTTTGGAAATCAAATTTTTGAAAACATTGAACGTCAAGATATGGTTTAGTGCCGAGGTTCCGAAATTTGAAAAGTTGAAAATTTCATTTTATTATCGAATGTTGCACCAATTTTGTTCTATAGAAACCCGAAGTTCAAAATTAAAGTTAAAACTTCGATAACTGAAACTTTGAAGTTTCAAGATTAAGCTCGCACCAATGGGATTTAAAAAGCTGAAATTTCCAAATGTATACTTTTATGTCGAAGTTTAAAAAATTTAAAATACGAAGCTTTGAGACTTACAGCATATGAATTTCAGAGCTTAGATGGATATTTCAAAAACCGAATTTTCAAAATTTAAAAATGCTGCAACATTTAGCGTCAAGATTTGGTTTTAATGTCGAGGTTCCAAGAGTTGAAAAGTTCACGATTTTATTTTAGAATTGAACTTTGGAGCTTTGAAAATTTATATGTTTTGTCTATAAATCTTCAAAGTTAGAAAATCAATGTTGAAATCTTGAAGCTTCAAGAGTAACATCGAAATTATGAGATTTGAAAAGTCGAAAAGTTTAATACAGACACATTTGATGTTTAATCAACCTAAATTTCCAAAAATCTACTTTAATTTCAAGTTTTAAAACTTTAAAACTCCGAGCTTTTATATTAAAAAAATCAGATCTTTAAAATTAGAAAAGCCGCAGATTTGAAATTCAAAAAGTTAAAAGTGCGAGTTCAGTGTTGTAGATTTGAAACGGAGGCCAAGTTTCCGACAATTAAAAAATCCACGTCTGGATATTTCAAATCACGAAGATTCTAGAAACTCATGTTAAAATTTCTAAATTTTGACCCTACTCTCAAAATTTCAATTTTTACAATTTCAATCCTTGATCTTTGTGAAATGAATCCTCAAAATACGAAAAGTTGGAACTTCGAATTTGAAAATTAAAAATTTTTTGATCAATTTTATTATTTATTAATTAGATCTTCAAGATAAACGAGAAAATTGTGAAATGTGAAAATCTAAACTTCATAATTAATATTAAAGGTATAAAATGTAAAAAAATCGAAGCTTTTTAAAACCTTTGAAGCTCGAAGTTTAGATATTTCGAAAATCGAATTTTCGACATTTAAAGTGGTTTGGTTTTATTGTGCAGGTTCCAAGAGCTGAAAAGTTCAAAATTTTATTTTAGTATTGAACTTTGAAGCTTTAAAAATTTACAAGTTTTGTCTATAAATCTTCAAAGTTAGAAAATTAATGTTGAAATCTTGAAGCTTCAAGAGTAACATCGAAATTATGAGATTTGAAAAGTCGAAAAGTTTAATACAGACACATTTGATGATTAATCAACCTAAATTTCCAAAAATCTACTTTAATTTCAAGTTTTAAAACTTTAAAACTCCGAGCTTTTATATTAAAAAAATCAGATCTTTAAAATTAGAAAAGCAGCAGATTTGAAATTCAAAAAGTTAAAAGTGCGAGTTCAGTGTTGTAGAATTGAAACGGAGGCCAAGTTTCCGACAATTAAAAAATCCACGTCTGGATATTTCAAATCACGAAGATTCTAGAAACTCATGTTAAAATTTCTAAA